TTTAATGGCTTAAGATCTTTTCCAAATCTTTAGCCCAGATGTGCTTCCCTGCCGTTCTGTCTCTGCAGCAACAGAATGTGTGTCTCCTCGCTCTTTGGCCCAACAGTCCTTCACGGCTGCTATTCGTGTCTCTCCGCTGGAGCCCTCTTCATCAGAGGGATGAAGTAGTCAAACCTCTTGCACTTGATGAAGTGGACTTGAGGCCATCTAAGGATGAATTCCCATTTTTCCCCTTATTGGAGTCTCCCTCCACCCTCCCCCCCCCCGATAAGAGATGCCTGTGGAGGCAAAAACAAGCAAACTCTTCTCCTGTTGCTGAATAGAATTGCATCTCTCTTCAGACATTCAAGCTGGCTGGATAGTTCCAGACAGTTGAGGTGTCTGATTGGGATTTCGATTCCTCCAATGTGCCTCCTGCGAGCAGGGCCAGCCCGTGAGGCCTTGGGGCAAGCGGCACAGTCCCAGGATGTCCACAGAAGATAGGAATGGTAAACCATTTCTGAATATTCTTTACCTGGAAAACCCTGAAAGACTTGACAGCACATTATTATTATTCAGACATTCAGACTTTTATCAGCACAAGCAATTTCCTGAACCATGAGAGAGAAGAATGTTAAGAGTTGGATGCAAAATACCTTTTGAAATTCTGTCTCTTTTGAGGACAGAGGCATTCGCCTCATTGTGAGCTAGATTTCTATTCTGCCTTTCTTCCTACAAATTGAAGGAGGCATATGTGGCTTTTCTTGTCTCCATTTTATCCTCGCAATAACCCTGTGAAGGAGGTTGAAATAGTGGGGAACATACAGTATTTCTGAGAAAAGTCTGCAGAGTGGAAGGGTGGGATGTTGAGGGGAAAAAAAGGAAACAAATCTTCAGAGAAACGGTTTGCTTTTGCTAAGAAAGTTGTTGCAGTCTTATCTGAGGATCTTAAATTGTAATGCTTCTCCCTCCTAATCTTGCCATCGAATGAGTCGCTAATTGGTCCCAGGCTTAGGTTATTGGAGTCATCCCATAGTATCCCATAGTCCTGTGTGACTGACTTGAGCTTTTGGTGCTTATCTGAGACCATCTTGGTAGCAAGAATTACATTTTCAGTTAAGATCTCTGTGTATAGGTTGAGCAAAGTCTTGGAAATAATTCAGTTATTTTCCCAACATCAGGGTCTTTACTAGGGAGTCTTCTCTTCTCATGAGATGGCCAAAGTACTGGAGCCTCAGCTTCAGAATCTGTCCTTCCAGTGAGCACTCAGGGTTGATTTCCTTTAGAATTGATAGGTTTGATCTCCTTGCAGTCCAGGGGACTCTCAAGAGCCTCCTCCAGCACCACAATTCAAAGGCATCAATTCTTCGATGGTCAGCTTTCTTTATGGTCCAGCTCTCGCTTCCATACATCACTACAGGAAAAACCATAGCTTTGACTATGAGGACTTTTGTTGGCGAGGTGATGTCTTTGCTTTTTAAGATGCTGTCAAGGTTTGTCATCGCTTTCCTCCCAAGAAGTAGGCGTCTTTTAATTTCATGGCTGCTGTCTCCATCTGAAGTGATCATGGAGCCCAAGAAAGTAAAATCTGTCACTGCGTCCATATCTTCCCTTTCTATTTCCCAGGAGGTGATGGGACCAGTGGCCATGATCTTAGTTTTTTTGATGTTGAGTTTCAAACCGTTTTTGCACTCTCCTCTTTCACCCTCATTACGAGGTTCTTTAAGTCCTCATCACTTTCTGCCATCAGAGTGCTATCATCTGCATATCGGAGGTTGTTGATATTTCTTCCGGCAATCTTAATTCCAGTTTGGGATTCCTCCAGTCCAGCCTTTCGCATGATGTATTCTGCATATAAGTTAAATAAGCCGGGAGACAATATACAGCCTTTCCCAATTTTGAATCAATCAGTTGTTCCATATCCAGTTCTAACTGTTGCTTCCTGTCCCACGTATAGATTTCTCAGGAGATATATAAGGTGGTCAGGCACTCCCATTTCTTTAAGGACTTGCCAGAGTTTGCTGTGGTCCGCACAGTCAAAGGCTTTTGTGTAGTCAATGAAGCAGAAGTAGATGTTTTTCTGGAACTCTCTGGCTTTCTCCATAATCCAGCGCATGTTAGCAATTTGGTCTCTAGTTCCTCTGACCCTTCGGAATCCAGCTTGCACTTCTGGGAGTTCTCGGTCCACATACTGCTGAAGCCTACCTTGTGGGATTTTGAGCATAACCTTGCTAGCGTGTGAAATGAGTGCAATTGTGCGG